CTGCTGGGCTCAGGTGATCCTTCTGCCTCAGCCTTCCAAGTAGCCGGAACTACAGGCGCACACTACCACGCCTGGCTAATGTTTTTTTAATTTATTGTAGAGATGAGGCCTCGCCAAGTTGTCCAGGCTGCCCTCGAACCCGTGGGCTCAGGTCATCCCTTCACCTTGGCCTCCCAAAGTGCTGGCATTACAGGCTTGAGCCACTGTGCCCAGCCAGTCGTTCTTAGTGTTTCCTTCTACTTTCCCACCCACGCATATTTAGTCCACGGCCTAGTCGTCACACACGTCTAGAACCTGGGCCTCTTTCCCATCTCTGGGGGGCCATGGGAGACTCAGGTCGCTGCTCGTCTTCTCCACCTCGGACTACTGCAGTCGCTGCCTCCTGGGTAGCAGAGAAGTGGCTGCTTCGCTGTCTCCTCTGGGGCCCTGCCCCACACATCCATTCCCCCAAACCACCTGCTGGCTAAAGTTATCTTCAGACAGGGCAGCCTCACTTTGGGATCAGCAGGCACCTCAGCAAACGCTGCAGCTCCCACATGTGGCCTGAGAGGCTGTGACTGATGCCTTTGTGGGCTCTTCTGCCGGCCCACACAGCCTGACCATGCTGGCTCTCCGTCCTGTCTGAGAGCTGTCAAAGGCACTCTCTCTGCTATGGTCAATTCTCTTTCGTCTGCTCTTTCCCTGACCTCACCTAGCGTAAATAGTGCTGCCTTCGAAGACCCATCTTTGAAGACATTAAATCCTGCTCTTTCTCCATTGGGCCCTGTTTTTTTCTCACCAGGGCACTTATTGCAAGGTGTAATCATAAATGCATTCATTTTAAGTTACCTTTTCTGGGATACCCCACTAATCCATGCTCCATGGGCCCAGGGATAATGTCCGTTTTGTTAACCATTGCAGACCCAGAACCTGGCTCAGGACATGGTGGACTTATTTTTCCTTAGTAAAAAGAAAGAACCAAGCAAATAGGTCAAGAGAATAAAGCAAAGGCTAGAAGTCAAAAAAGTGAGAATAAAACATCAAAGTACAGCAAAATAAAATTGTGCTATTTTCCTGAGTTCAGCTCAGTGAATTTCCATAAAACTATAGTGCAAGATAACTATTAAAATGAAAGTTGTTAAACAAAAAGGTTTGCTTTTTGACTGCAAACATGACGATTTAGCAAGTTCTTTGGATTAAATGTGCTCACAAAGGACTGACTCTCCACTTTTAAATATTACTAGAAATGACAGGCAAGAAAGAATGTGCATCTCTGAGGAATAAAATTAAGTTATTGGACCCTAAATTAAATATCTCAAAGAGAAAGGAAGACAATGTTTCAGGAAGGAAGAAAGAAAGGTGATATCTAATGAAAACCACCATGGGCTGGGAGCCAGATAAGACAGTCTGGACCTACTATACCAGGACATAGGGAGTCACTAAGGAATTCAGTCACTTTTTCTTTGCCTCAGTTTCCATTACAAATGATCTCCAAGACCAGTGATCCTTTTGTTAAAAAAAAGTCTATAGCTTTATCAAGTCATTCATTTATTTAATAATCATTCATGGCTGGGTGTAATGGCTCATGCCTATCATCCCAGCACTTTGGGAAGCTGAGGTGGGAGGACTGCTTGAGGTCAGGAGTTTAAAACCAGCTTGGGCAACATAGCGAGATCTTGTCTCTAATTTAAAAATAAAATATATTAACAATAATGATAATGATAATAATAATAATTTAACATGCAGTGGATCTAGAAAAAGCTATTTGGGCTCTGAACAGATTGCCTAGCTTGTGGTTAGAAAATGTCTTCTGCATTGGTTTTTTGGTTACTTTTGATTCTAGTGATTTATAAAACTTAAGTTTGTGTTGGTTTCTCTGACCTACAACACCTTGAGAAGCCTCACAAAAATGTTTTCACTAGCTTGAGTTAAAGGAAGTCATCCAGAAGAACAATGGACAGAGATTCTTACTTGTTGCATTTCTGAAGTCTAAAGTATAGTCTTGATAATGTTTCACAGCTCAGAGGACATGAGCTTTTTGACTGAATTTACTTGACCCTGAAAAGGACTGGTTGGCTTCATATATATTTCCTTTCATTTCAAAGTTGGCAGCAACTGAGCTGTCTGCCATCAGAAGATAAGCTTTCACTGATCTCTGAAAAGTGACACTGCCCGAATGCTGCGAACAGACTGAGACTGACACCAATGGTGTGAAGCAGAGTTAGATAGAGACTTACTGCAGGGTTTCACGAGGAATCACCTGGCCTGGGCTGGCCAGGGAAGGGGTAGCTAATGTGGCAAATGAGTCTGCCATAAGACACAGCCATTTGTTTTCCCATCAACGTTAATTTATTCTGACACAGTAATTTCTGGACTTTACAGAAAATACATAGTGGCCAAGCTTGTCCTTAAATGCACTAACAGAAAGATCTTTGGGGTAGAGCAAGAGATCAAAGAAAGTCATCCTAAAAAACAAGAAAACCGGATGCAGAGCTGCCTTTAGCTGGAAGGGCTTGTGTGACTTTCCAGCCTCTGTGTCTGCTGTGCTGATAAGTCTGTACAAGGTGAACCCAAATGTGTCTATGTTGTGGGACCCACAAGGTGTCCCACAAAGTTGTCTATAATCAGGAAGTTGAAGTTGGAAATTACAAGTAGGAAAGAAAGGAATCTTCCAGGATACATGTCTGCATCTTCTAATAATGTCTTAATTTTTTTCTGAGTTGGAGTCTCACTCTGTCGCCCAGACTGGAGTGCAGTGGCCACTCCCGGCCACCGCAGCCTTGACCTGCTGGGCTCCGGCGATCCTTCCGCCTCAGCCTTCCAAGTAGCCAGAATTACAGGCATGCACTACCAAGTCCGGCTGATTTTTTGATTTATTGTAGAGATGAGGTCTCGCTGCCCAGGCGGGTCTCGAACCCGCGGGCTCAGGCAATCCACTCACCTCAGCCTCCCAAAGGTGCGGGATTACAGGCTGAGCCACCAAGCCTGGCTATAATGTCTTATTTATGTGTTACATGCACATATATAAAAAGCTCAACCTTCGACAGCTTACTGTAAATGTGTCTCCATATCAAATACTTATTTTTCTTCCTGTACACATATTATCAAAGAATTGGTAGTGGGTAAAATATAATTTTACCTCTATATTAATTTGATTTGTAAACTGGAGAACCTGATCATTACCACAGCAAATGATCTACCTATACAATTGTCAGCAAGTGAGGCTCAGTTTCCTCATATGTGAAATGGGAATAATATCCTGCAGCCTTCGTGTTGTACAGTCTCAGATGTGCTACAAGAAATGCCCCATAGGAAATGCATATTCAGTACATCTGAACTGGACATCATTTTCTTGTTTTTGAAGCTTGTGCCTGGCCTTGCAATTCACCACAAGCATATTCTCGTTGATATGTCACTGCATGTGCTCCAAGATATAAATCCAAAGCATCTACAATGTCATTTACGCTGGCAGCAATTCACCAGACTTTAGCTTCCAATTTTTTCCTCTTTGCTCAACGAGTAAAACAAGTACCGCTGAAGGACCCAGAGGGACAGCTCTCAAGACATGCATTATTAGTGATCACTCAAAGGAAGCGATCGCACTTGTCAGTTTCATTGTGCCTTCTCATCAGCGGCTCAGTTCCTGCTGTCTCAGTCTCCTTGTTCCTTGGAGTGTGTGGTTTGTAAGGAAGCTTCACCCAAATGCTCCCTGCCAAGTTACTAGTATTCCCTTCTCCACAGCCTGACACTGACATACATGCCACGAAGAAAGTTAAGCAAAACAAAAACACAAAACAAGAGCCTATATCTGATCCACAGCTGTCTCAGATAATTCTATTTAAATTTACCACAGATTTAAGTCCAAGGGTACAAGACTGGTCTCCAACTACAAGCCATGTTAAAGACCTTGAAACTGATTTAATGAATTTTGCACACACACATATTCCTAACAAAAGAAAAACATTTCCCCCCCCCAATAATTCCGAAAGAAATACTCTTTGCCTCTAGACCCTAAGACAACTTTTTGAAATGCACAGAACTTTCAAATAAAGCACTACCACTTGACGATGATTCATAATCAACATGGAAGTGTTTCCTGCTTCTGTCTCTGAACGGCATCGAAGGCACCACAAGGAGAGGGTGATTATTAATTATTTTTCATCAATATATGTTTTTTCATTAAGAGTAGATAGGAAAAAATGAGTGAATGACTTATACTTTCAATTTCTGCTTTGTTGCAAAACCGTCTTACTTCTTTGATGGCAATTTAGTATCACTAAAAGTTGGCTGCAGCGGCCCATGCCTATAATCCCAGCACTCTGGGAGGCAGAGGTAAGAGGACTGCTTGAGCCTAAGAGTTCAAGACCAGCCTGGGCAACTTGGCAAGACTTTGTCTCTACAACAAATCAAAAAATTAGCCAGGTGTGGTACATACGTCTGTAGTTGCGGCTACTTGGAAGGCTGAGGTGGAAGGATCGCCAGAGCCCAGCAGGTCAACGCTGCGTTGGCCATGAGTGTGCCACTGCACTCCAGTCTGGGTGATGGAGTTAAGACTCTGACTCAAAAACCAAACTAAAATAACATCACCAGAGAGATAACCTCAAAAGGTTATGCCAAGGCTCTGACAGAAACGAACTCCTCATCCCTGATGTGTCTACAGCTATCTGAAAAACCACAAAACCAGGAAGGGCCTTAATTTGAGTAGAAAAATACAACATTGATCTCACAGCCTGTCTGAGCTAGGCACTGGGCATCTGGGGTCTGGTCCTTGTTCACGAGGCCACCGATCTGCAGTCCCACTATGGCAGCCATTAGCCACAGGAGGCTGCTGAGAATAATGTTAATTCACATTAAGTGAAGTTTAAGATTTAGCTCCTCAGCTGCACGAGCCAGTGTCCAAACCTCCAGGTTATTGCATTGGATGGTGCAGACAGACAACATTTGCATCGTCACAGAAAGTTCTATTAGGCAGTGGTGATGCAGATGGCTTGAAACACTCTCTGAAAGTCACGGATTTACCATCTGTCATTACTCACTCAGGTTTTCCATACATAAAACTCGACGTTGTCATGGTCTTTTGAGGTATGGTAACCACACATCTTGGCTTTTTCAGGACAGTATCAATATTTCTTACATTTGTATTACTTTCTTTTTTTTTTTTGAGTTGGAGTCTCACTCTGTCGCCCAGACTGGAGTGCAGTGGCCGCTCCCGGCCACCACAGCCTCGACCTGCTGGGCTCCGGCGATCCTTCCGCCTCAGCCTTCCAAGTAGCTGGAATTACAGGCATGTGCTACCACACCCGGCTGATTTTTTGATTTATTGTAGAGACGAGGTCTCGCTGCCCAGGCAGGTCTCAAACCCACGAGCTCAGGCAATCCACTCACCTCAGCCTCGCAAAGGCGCAGGATTACAGGCTGAGCCACCGAGCCCAGCTGTATTACTTTCAATAGCATGAACCATTAAAGGTAAAAGTAAATGCAACAAATTTACTTTTTAGTAGGACTTTACAAATAAAAATAAATAGATATATAAAATCCTTTGTTATAGCACATGTCCTTAATTTTGATGCAAAAAAAGGCAAATATAAACAGCCCAAGTATGGGTTGAATGCAGCTATGAAACTGCTCTGGGCAGAACCTCCACCTCCTAGAGCACTCTACCTGAATGCCTCCCCACCCCACGCCAGCATCTTGTCACTCACCGAGCTCCAAGGGGGTCTGTGTGCCCTGAGCTGCACCCCTGCTGGCCCCTGGTGCTGTCTTTGCCAGGAAGAGAGTACATTCTCTGCACTACCACTCGGACTCCAGCTCCCAGCCATGGAGCAGCTCCCTGGCTTTCCACCACGTCCAGGAGAGAGTCCCTCAGGGGAGTGCTGGTTGGGATGTGCTGTCTGGCTTCTTCATGCTGGTGGGTCATGCTTGTCCCCATGGTGGCCGCACCACTGCACACAACCTGCCCAAAACACACAAAGTGAACAACTCCAGTTTGACTGAGAGCAGCATGCCACACACCAAATAATGGTTTTACTCTGGCACGCATATCCGTGCTGCACTGAAGGGATCTGAAGGGATGACGCCGAAGACAAAGACAAGGCGCTCTCAGTGTGGGCCCTGCGCCTCGCCAGCCGCTCACACCGCCGAGGAGGGATGTGAGTGAGGCAGCAGGGACAGCCGCAGTGTGTTTCCTGTCAGTGGACTCACAGGGCAGCGCAAGTCTTTGAAAACACCCAGAAAAACGTTCTGCCATTACAATAACTCATGGGAATTCAAAAACACGTCTCTTTCTTGGAGACAGCACTTCTAATGGGACAAGCTAAACGTCAAAATAAAAGAATGACTAGGAATTAACAAAAATGCATTATTTTACTATGTACTCTTACGTGCAACCTCCTAGGCTAGCCCTTGATGTGAGGACCAATGGGAGACCCACACTTCACCTGCCCAATGATCACTTATGTACCTAAATCCCGAATTGTACCCCACATCTTTAAAGTTAAAGCAACAACAACAAAAAGCTATCTACTGGGTACCAGGCCCACCACCTGGGTGACAGGCTCAACAGAAGCTCAGCCCTCACCAGCACACAACACACCTACGTACAAACCTGTACATATACCCCCTGAATCTAATAATAATAATAACAATAATGTTTTATAAAAGATGGTTCTAAAAAAAGTTTGTTACAATTAAATTGATTAGAGAGCCTTCCTTTTTGTATAATCCTTTCCACACAATTATTTTGATAGTCAAAGAGATTTTGTTTGATCAATTGGTATACAACAGGATGACAGTTTGTCTTCTTTTCTTTCTTACTTCCCCTCCCTCAACCTGTCAGTCTTAGCTTTCTGTTCAGTGATTACTTGAGTAACCCAAGACTTGGAGGCCAATGCACTAGGAACCGCACAGATACTCAGAGCTTCAGGCAAAATTTGTGCCCCCTGAGAATGAATTTTAGTGGTTCCCTAAATTCATCTTGGCAGACGACCATGGCCCTGGGCCAATAAAATTCCAAAAAAAAGCCTCTAACATATAATCTCAAGCTTATGCAGCGCTTTTTATGCCAAGGGATAGAGATATTGTGAAAAAGAAAAATATAGTTTTTTAAAATAAATAAAAGAAGGCTTAAACAAAATTCTTAGACAATTATGAGCTAAGGACAGAGAAAATGAAAACTTTCATAAAGTGTCCTGAGGTGTATAATGATGCCTGTCAACAATGGACAACATACACTTTGGGGGCCCCGTAAGGTCATAATGGAGCTGCAAAATTCCTGTCACCTAGTGACATACTCACGTGTTTGGGCAATGCCACTACAAACAAACCTATGGCACTGCTAGTCATATAAAGGGATGCACATACAGCTATGTACAGGATATGTGTACAGGTTTGATTAAGTATACTTTATAATGTCGATAAACAACTAAGGTACTGGCTTTTGTATTTGCCATACTATACTTTCAATCATTATTTTAGAGTGCACTCATTCTACTTATTGTTGTTATTTTTTAAAGAGTTACTATAGAACTGCCTCATGCAAGTCCTTCAGAAGGTATTTCAAAAGAAACATTGCTCCCATAGGAGATGACCGCTCTGTGTGTGTTAGTGCCCCTGACGACCTTCCAGAGAGACAAGATATTGAGGTGGAAGACAGTGATATCGAAGATCCCGATCCTATGTAGGCCTGGGATGATGGGTGGGTGTCTTCCTTTTTAACAAAAAATTTTAAAAGTTAAAAAAAAAAAACAACTTGAAATAGAAAAAGCTTGTAGAATAAGGATATAAAGAAATATTTTTGTATAACTGTACAATGTATGTGTTGTAAGTTAGTATTTCTATAAACGAATAAAAATTTTTTAAAAATTAAAAGTTTTTAAAATAAAAAGGCTACAGTAAGTTGAGGTTAATTTATTACTGAAGAAATTTTAAAAAATAACTTTAGTGTAGCCAAAGTGTTCAGTGATCACAAAGTCTAGAAGAGTGAACAGTAACGTCCTAAGCCTTCACCTTCACTCACCACTCACTCACTGACCCACCCAGAGCAACTTCCAGTCCTGTAAGCTCCATTCATGGTAAGTATCCTAGAGAGATGTACTAATTTTAATCTTTTATACTGTGTTTACACTAAACCCTTCCTATGTTTATATGCTAGGAAACACAAATACCACAGTGATACAATTTCCTATAGTATTCAGTACAAGTGACATGCTGTACAGGCTTATAACCTGGGAGCAACAGGCCATACATACAATATAGCTTAGAAGCATAGTTGGCTATACCACCGAAATCTGTGTAAGGACACACTGTGATGCTCGTACAATGGTGAAATTCCCTAACGATGATTTTTCTCAGAACAGACTCCTTGTGTTAAGTGATGCATGATTGTATTTTAATAAATTAGAATAAAGGTTAAAAATACATATTTAGAAGATGAAATACTGTAAAAAGACCACAACTAGGCAACTCCCTTGGGTCCCCTCCCACTGTGGGAGCTTTTCTGTCCTCTCAATAAATCCTGCTTTAAAAGAAAAAAAAAAAAGACCACAACTAAATGCTGAGGTGAACTAAGTATATTCAGACATAACATTAAATTGTTCCAGCATATATATTTGCAGTTTATTTGGAGGGAGACAGAAGATGAACATCTTCACTTGTACTGAAGCCCTTTCAAATCCAGTATTATCACAAACATAAAACCTCTAAGTTAAGGAGAGCTTACCTGAATTTCAGGTGAATTATTTGTTAGACCCTTAATTCTAAATATCTGGGCCAAAGTGATGCTTCTTCTTGGAAGGGGTATATCCTGATGGTACTTTTCATAAGTTATTTCTGAATCTTCCTTGGGAACAACTTTCTCACAAAAATGAGTGTTCAGAATAACAGGGTAACTTCCATTTGGAATAATTAGTTTTTGCCTGAAAGAGAGAGAAAGTCAACAGGTTATTCGAAACATTCAAGTCCCCTCATGTTCTTGCGAAGTTAGGTTTGCAGAGTGCAGGGACTCTTCTGCTACGGACAACTGGAAGCCAGTCAGCCCACAGGGTGACAGCTGCCCTTCATGCACTAGGCGCCGCGAGCCAGGGCGCCTGACTTGACTCTTCCAGCGGAAAGTCCAGGTGAGGAAGAGAGGAAAGAGGCCTCGTTCCAGGCTGGAGCTCCCTTAGGCCCTCCGGGGCGGGGCAAACACGGGGGGTGAGCGAAAAGGAGCAACAGGCCGAAAGACCCCAGCACGCTGCGCCAGGAAGCCCTTCGGACATTCCAACAGCCCCAGTCCTTCAAAGAGCACGCCAGCAGATGCCACAGGAAAGCCGACCTTGCTGTTAGACCGACTAGTTGTTGAAACGCCTCACATTTAAGTAGAAGAGGGCTCAGGGATACAGCAGACAAAATCCTCCTGGTTCCTTTCAGTCCAGCAGTAGGAGAAAACACTTGAACGCCCATTCTTCAAACAGGAAGTGCCGCTTAACATTAAGGAAAAAAAATTTTTTTGAGTTGGAGTCTCACTCTGTCACCCAGGCTGGAGTGCAGTGGCACACTCACCACGCCCCAGCGAGAACCTACTGGGTTCTGGTGATCCTGCCGCCTCAGCCTTCCACAAGTAGCTGGAACTACAGGCACAAGCTACTACGCCCAGCTAATTTTTGATTTATTGTAGAGACGAGGTCTTGCCAAGTTGTCTGGGCTGGTCTCGAACCCGCAGGCTCAGGCAATCCACTCGCCTTGGCCTCCCAAAGTGCTGGGATGACAGGCTGAGTCACCGAGCCTAGCCATTAAGAAAAATTTCAATCTTCTGATTTTGGTGCGCTGGAGGAGACATAGTTTTCCCTATCCCTCTCATTAAGCACAACTGAGATGCCTAACGTTGTATGTATATAAAGTAAACATAAGATACTAAAACGTGGAGAGAAGAAGCAGACAGGCTAAAACCTAGAGACCTCAGGACCCGAGGCATGACACAGTGGTAAGTCACTAGGTTTTCTTTTTGCCTCTTATATCCCAGGTTTTGACCTGAAGGAGCTGGGAACTTGGAAAGGAACAGGTGAAGATAAAAAAGCCCAACAAGGCCTGCTCTCTTCAACCAAGGGACCAAGGTGGTAGCCTAGCAAGATTGAAAACATTTAGGTAATTACTGCTCTACTCCAGGCAACACACAGAAAAACTGTGACCCATCCCATGCACACCAGCAAAGGTCAACTGGGGACTGGACTTTACCCTCACTGGGCTGTACTAAGAAGCTCCGAGAGCTTGGTCGTGGCAGTGCAAAGGTGGGACAAGGAACTGGGACTTTTGTGCCCACAGGCTGGCAATGAATACTCCTCTCACTATGACAGCAGAGAATACTGGGGGCAAGGAATCCATCCTCATCTGACAACAGTAAGCTAGAGCCAATCTCGGCCGCTGGTGTGGGGTCAGAGGAAGCCTCGCAGACAGCCAGGACTTTTACTACTGCCCGGTGGTGCTGAGCCACCCACTAACCTCCTACCCCTCCAGTGTGCAGCAGCCGCAAGAGGAACAGCAACAAGGCTTCCGCCCTCCCCTACCCTCACCCCAGCCATGGTGGTGTCAGTCCAGGCTTAGCAGGGAGCTGGTTCTGGCAGGAACAAGGAGGCTCTCCCTCTCTCATGTGTCACACTTGGACATCTGTCCAGGTTTCTATGTAAAATCACATGTTATACTAAGAACCATGAAAAACCTCAACTTAAATGAAAAAAGGCAATTAACAGATGCCAATGCTAAGATGACACAAATGTCAGAATTCTATGACAAAGGTTCCCAGTAGCCATTATAAAAATGCGACCATGAATGCACTTGAGACAGAAAAACAGATTCTTAGCAAAGAAATGAAAATAAAATATTTCTCAAAAATGGAAGTTTCACAATTAAAAAATAAATAAAAATACAAATTTTAAAACTCAATAGATAACAGAATGGAGACACAGAATAGACTCAATGAACTTAAAGACAAAAATAATAGAAATTACCCAATATGAAAAAGAAGGAAAAAAACAGATGAAAGAAAAAACAAAAACCCAGAGCCTAGGACCTGTGGGAAGAAAGAAATAAATAAAAATGTAAAGATATAAATAAAATAATATAGGTAAATACAATAGGCATTCCTACTCTTCTTGAATTTTCCAAATGATATTGGAAGGCTATACTAAAATTATTACACTGTCTGATGTGGTCCTAAATATATGCAAATAAAACACTGGAGATAATCATATTATTAACAGGGAGGGTAAAGGGCTATAAAAAGAAGCTTGTTTTCTACATGTCACACAAAGTGGTAATATGGTGACCCAGTAGGCTATGCTAAGTTAGTATATGTAATGCCAGAGCAAGTAATAAAATATCCATAAAAAGAGATATACACAAAAACATTATAAATGAATTTTTTCTTTTTTTTGAGTTGGGCATTCAACTATGTTGCTCAGGCTGGAGTGCAATAACACAACCATGGCTCACTGCAGCCTTGAATTCCGGGGCTCAAGTGATCCTCCTGCCTCAGTCTCCTGAGTAGCTGGGACTACAGGCACACACCAGTTAATTTTTATAATTTTTGTAGAGACAAAGTCTTGCTATGTTATCCAGGCTGATCTTAAACTCCTGGGCTCAAGGAGTCCTCTTGCCTTAGGCTCCCAAAGTGCTGGGATTACAGACATGAACCACCACATCTGGTCTTATAAATGAAATAAATTCTAAAAAATGAAAAGAGAAAAAAAACCAGAACTAGAAAAAAAGAGAGAACAAAGAAAACAAGACGTAAAAAGTTACACTTAAGTTCTAACATATCAATAATTACATGAAATATGAATTCTTCTAAATAAACCAATTAAAAGACAAGTTGGCAGAGATTATAAAATATGATCCATCTATATGCTGTCTACAAGAAACTCACTTTAAATAGAGAGATATAGGTAGAATGAAAGTAAAAAATGGGAAAAGATACATCATACAAACATTAATCAAAAGATAGTCTGGGGATTATATTAATATCAGATAAAGGAGGTTTCAGAGCAAAGAAAATTACAGATACAGAAATGGACGTTACAAATTGATAAAAAGGTCAACCTCCATCACAAATAGCACTCTTTAATGTGTATGCACCAAACAACATAGATTCAAAATACATGAAGCAAAAACTGATAAAACTGAAAGGAAGCATAGACAAATTCACAATTAGAATTTTAGACATTAACATCCCTCTCTCAACATTTTACAGAACTAGAGAGACTATCAGAAATAATATAGAAGAGCACACCACCACCATCAATCAACAAGATCTAATTGACCTCACAGAACACTCCGCCTAACAACAGCAAAATACATATACTTTTCAGGTGCCCACAAACGTATGCGAAGAGAGACCATATTATAAGCTATCACAAATTTAAAAGAACTGAAATCATATAGAGTAGATTCTCTGTTCACAAAGGAACCAAACTAAAAATCAGTAACAGAACAATGACGTGAATTTCTTCAGACACTTAGAAATTAAACAATACATTTCTAAGAAATCTATGGGTCAAAGAGGAAGTCTCAATGAAAATAAAAACATTGAACTGAATTAAAATGAAAATTTAATGTTTCAAAATTTGTAAGACACAACAGAAGTGATACTAAGAGGGAATGTTATGGCACTCAAAGCTCACATGAGAAAAGAAGAAAAGTCTCAAATCAGTAATATAAGCTCTCACCTCAAAAACCAAAAAAAAAAAAAAAAAGAGCAAAATAAACCCAGAGCAAGTGAAAGGAAATACATAATACAAAGGAGAAATCAATGAAACTGAAAACAGACAAACAACAGAGAAAAAAATAATGCAATAGAGTTGGTTCTTTGAAACGATCAATGAATTATCTGAAAAAGGAAAAAAGAGAGATAATATGCCAATATGAAGAATGAAACAGCCCTGTAGATCTCACAGGGCTACTGAGAAACTACTATGGACAACACTAAATAAATGTATTCTAAAAACTTAGATGAAATGGTTTCCTCTATGCCACCCTCCCCACCCCCCCAGAAAAGAAAAATGGGCCAATTTCTTAAAAAGAACAAACTACCACAACTCATGCAATAGGAAATAGATTATATGAACAGCCCTGTAACTGTTAAGCATAATGAATTTGTAAGTTAGAAACCAAAAAAGTGATATCCCTAGGTCTAGATACTTTAACTGAATAATTCTCCCAAATGTGAAAAGAAGAATTTGCAGCAATTCTACACAGTCTCTTCTAGAATATAGAAGAAGCAGAAACATTTCCCAATTCATTTTATAAAGCCAGTGCTATTCTGATACTAAACCCAGACAAAGGTGGGACAAAAAAAAGAAAACTATAGACCAACACATCTCAACCATATAGAAACAAAAATTCTAACAAAATGTTAGCAAATAGAATTCCACAATATATAAAAGAAGTTATGCATCATGATCAAGTAGGATTAATTTTAGGACTGAAAGGCTTATTCACTATTTGAAAATCATTTCCACCAGGTTAAAGGCTGAAGAAGAAAAATCAGATGATTACAATAATCAATGTAGAAAATTTGAGAAAACTCAACACCAATTCATAATAAAAAACTCAGAAAACTAGAAATGGAGAACTTCCTCAACTTAATTAAGAATAATTGCAAAAATTTTACAACTGGCATTATACTTACTGGTGAAAGAACAAACATTTTCCACCGGAGATGGGAAACATGCAAACGTTTCCTCTGTCACAGCTTTTATTCAACATAGTACCAGAAGTTCTAGCTAATGCAATAAGGCAAGAAAAAAGTTAAAATGTCGCTTTTTGCAGATGACATACTTGCTTATGTAGAAAATTCCAAGGAATCTGTAAAATAACTCCTACAACTAATAAGCAAGGTTGCAGAAACCAAAACAGACAGAAATAAAGTGTACTTCTATATATT